TATTCTAAGAACTTGCAAAAAACTTAATATCACAAACATCTTGTCATGGGTTGTTATTCATGTGATGATATGAATTGACATAATGCAGGAATGCATTATCTTCATGCACCGTATTATTATGGCATTTTACATTGCACATGGAACGTTTTTCATTGATTAAAAAAAGATAAAAACTGCATGCGCTATTCCATAACTGATTGCAATCTGGCGTGCTGTGGCCACACAAAATCCTTTGAATGACTTTTCTTTTCAAGAAATCAGTGAAATTATGTATCTGAGACATAATGAAGTTTCTGTATTCATTTGCATTTAGATTTTGTACAGTTTACCTAATACTAGTTGCCTTATTATATCACTTGATACCTGAGATAACAACTCCCAAAAATTTGCATGTCACTAGATTGGTAAAATTTGTTGTTATGGATTTTGCCATTAACCATTTTATCTAATATTACAGATGTCTTTACAAACAACCTTCATCTTAAGGTTTTAGACAGGAGTGTGTATGAATCATTTGTAAAATAAATATGTTACTGAATACTAAATTATTGCAGATTCAAGATACTGAAAATAATGTATTACCATTATTGTATCAATGCTATTCACAGCTGCTGCTTTAAAGTACTGAATTTAGAATATGCTTATGAAATTACAGTTGCCCGTTTAATTAGTTTGTAATGTGTTTTCAATTTCAAGTTTAAAATATAATTTGATTATTAATAGCTTGCTGTCCATTACAGTCTAGAACATTATTTTCCATATTATATGTAATAGTATAGTGTATCCTTTTAGATTCAAGTGAATTCAGGAAATTAAATGTTAATAACAAAACTAATAAAAAATGCACTAGAATAATTAACGACACAGTGCACAACATTGAGAAATAACAAATAATCATGTTTTTCCATAGGCCAAAACATTATTTGCTGTAGTATACATAAAGGAATCATACTCTTCATTTATTATATAGTATTAAGTGTAATTTATTGAAATTAAATAATTTGAAATTTAAATTTACTCCAAATCTTAAAATAATCTGATTGTATTTTTCTGCACAAAGAAATTGTTTATTGTTTGAATTAAATGAAACAAATAGCCAATTTTTCAATTAAAATTAAAGCAAAACATTTTAAGTGATTTAAAACAATATGTACCTAACAAAGAACGTCTTCCAACGTCGAAATATCACTTTTTCTAAAAAAAAAAAATCAAATACATTTAAAAATATATAACAGTAAAAGAACTAATATTTTACAGAAAATGGCGAAATTTGTAGCATGGTTCTAAACTCAGAAGAATGGCGCTTCCAATAGTGAAGGTTTTAAAAAGCAAACAAATTAGTATGGAGTTTTTTTAGTGCATCATAAATGCTTCATTATTTCATATTTTTTATTTTATAATTTCTGCATGCCATCTTACTGGATTTAAACTGATAATCAAATATTTGGAATGACTAAAGTCCTGCCGAGTCAGGATTGACACAATTTTTTTTTTTTTTTTTTACTTTTGGGTTGTTTTCCCCATCAATAAAATTCCGAGTTCCACTCAACGGCTATGAATTGGGGGTTTTAAGGATTCCTTGTCGTGTGGTTTAATTTAATTGCCAAAAAAGAGAGCCTGAAATTCCATGTCAAGCACACGGCATATGTAAAAAAGGAAGCAGAAGTCTTCAGTTGCCAACATTTTGGTCTGAAATCACACTTCAATTTTTCTCTGCCAAATTTCAAAACATCGCCATTTAGAACTGGATTTCGAAGGCATTTCACATTTTTTAAAAATCTTTGTTCTAGTTAACGTTCCTAATTCCAATCCATCTTTGCCTTTGGCCTTTAAAGAAATTATGTTTTAGTTCTGGTTTCATCAACAGATAGTGCCACTTGCTTATTCTTCTCCAGGCTTTCTTATCTAATCATTATATCCTATCTCCTTCATTTGCAGCTGAGGATGGTGGTTTGGTAAAACCATTGAAACTAGTCTTGTGAAAATTTAAAAATAAAACGCTGATTTTTGTTGTTTGACTTCTGAATTAGAATTTGTTCGGTGTGTTATTGTGTCAAATTCCATATATTTTCATTTCCAAGTTTTGTAAAAAAACAAAGGGATTATGTAGCAGTAGTGAAAGGGATCTACAGCAATTTTTAACTGCTTGTCCATAGCTACTTTCTTTTACTCTTATATATTTCTAGATAAGTAGATTCATATCTTTCCAGAAAATTTTCTATAATCCACATAGGCAAGTTATTAGCAATTTTAATATTCTTTGAAGAACAAGTGATCATGATAACTGACATAAAATATGTTTCTGTATTACTTTGTGAATTCTGCACCTTTCATTAGCATCAATCAGTTTTGTTTTACATGATGCAAAACAGTGTAAATGTTGTATGTTTGTATTAATACCAATAAAAAATGAGAAGCTAACATGAAAAAATATGTTTCATTAGCAGGTATAAATATTCATGTATTACCAAAGTGGCAGCAATATGACTGAGTTATAGTAGAGTAACTGTGATCATAAGAATGGATTGTTGCCATATACATCATGTTGTACTGGACATAGTTGCATTTAAAATTCTACAGTGCATATCAAGTAATGTAATATTTCTTAAAATATCATGACTTCTCAATTTCTTGGGACCAGTTCCATTATAATTAGTGGCACTTCATATGGGAAGTATGTCTAAAAGTTATTTACAGTATTCCTTTAAATACAAAGAGAAATTGAAGATCCACAAGTGGAGTAATGTTACCTAATGCTAAATTATTATTATAGTTGCATACGTTATTTGCATTAATTCAATGCATATATGATTTAATACTGTATTGTACATTTTAGTCACTGCAAATGACATCTTAAGTCTACGAGTGTTTATGCGAAATTCTTTTTCAATGAATGGTAGTAAATCATTAAAAAAAAGAAACATCCATCACCAACAATTTTTTAATAAATTTTTCAAAATCCTTGTAAATCTCAAAATATATATACTTTTAAATTGAGTTCTAACCTACTTTTTCCAACCATCGACTGGATGTATTTAGTTATACATACTGTCATGTTTGTTAGGATGATTTGTTAAACAGATTTCCTCCATAGTGGTTATACATTTATGTAACATTTACAATAAGTGTTCTTCACTGCCATAGTATTCTCATTGAATAAGTAGAAAAAAAAAATTTAAAACAAACAAACATTTTTGAATTTTAAGAAATATAAATAAAAATTATGAATAAAGTTATATTTCATTATTATAAAATGGTCAGCGTTTACTCTCATTTAATCAAATGTAAAATAGTACCTTCTAATTCATGTTTTAAGATTTATTAAAATATGAAAGAATCAAAAAGTAACCAATATTTGGCAATAAAAAAAATTCCAAAGCAAAATTCTGTAAAATAGCTCTTAATCTTGAAAAATCAGTGGGTATAGGCTTTTAGGTTGTGTGGAAATATGACATTAACAAACAGCTAACATGAATGGCAACTTGGAAAAAAACCATGCACCAAAAGGCTATAAATACTAAAATGTAAGAAGATTATCTGCTTCTCTTTACGTCCGACTGTGAGATCCACAAAAGGAAATCTGAAAGTCTTTATTCCCTATCACCAACTCTCAAGAATTTCAAACTGATAGATTTTTAGAGTTCTATTTTATAAAGACGCTATTAGTTATGTCCTTTTGTTTGTTTGAAACCCAAGCCATTATAATCATCAATTAGCCTCAGCTAACCACCCTAATTTTGTTTTTGGATACCCCTTTGTTTTAGTCCTACGAGTTTTGGATAACTTACTATTTTCCAATAGAGCAGTTTCTGGGTTCTGAAGATGACAAATCCAAATCAGCATATCAAGGAGGCATTTACTAACAAGAAATTCAACAGAGGTGATGTATCAGTGGCTTTAGGATCTATCAATTGAGATTATTTCTTGTAGTTCTGGATCTATGACATACTTGTATTTATTGTAGTGAAACTACATAAAAACAATTTGTAAGGTATTTTCATTCCTACCTGTGCATATTTTAGTAAGAAGGTATTAAAATTACTTTTCAACTTTCTTACGTATAATAATTTGAAAGGGTTTCTTACAGATTTTTACTATATAAATCAGTACAGACTGAAGTGTTTTGTTTTCTTTGATCATACATACTTCAAGAGAATAGCAAAATGTTCTTATGTACATACTTTATTGACCCCTTAAAGACTCTTTACACCTCTATGCTTATAATTTTAATCATGTGTTTGCCATGTAAAAACTACTATAGACCAATGTACAAATATCAGTTTGATTGTTTTCAATAAAGATATTGGATCATCTGCAGATAAGACTCGGTTTAATTCTGTGTCTAGCAAACTTTTTTTATACAAATTAATTTTAAAATATGAAGAGGAGGAAATGTGCCATTGATGATGTTTTATTCATTCATAATTTTGTTAGTTTCTACCTGACAAGTAAATACTTAGTCAATCTTTAAATCTTTATTGCATTAATATCCTTGCTCTAAAATATTTTTACAGTATCTACAATATGTAACAGTATTTTACATGTTGCATGGTGAATTATTTTGCCTGCTTTGGAGATGAAAAATCACTCTTAGAATAAATTTTAAAACTTCTACGACCACCAAGGCTTTTTCTTACTCTTCTATGCGGGGCATGATTTCTGTTGGCATCTGATGCAGTAAATGGTGAATGTGTATAGTCAGACTTTGTTTCATCATCATCAAAAGGAATCTCAAAAATTTCTTTTGTTATTGCATCATCAATATTTTCATCATGTGAAAAATTATCATTTTTTATACTTGTGTCGCAAACTGATGCTTCTGTACTATTTTGTTTTGTAATTTTGACCGTCTTCGTACCTTTATTGTTCTGAAAACTATTTTCAAAGCTGGCAGTAGTACTGCTACATGGTTTGAGATCTTCATCTTCAATAAATAACTCATCTTTCTCAGAGCATACTTCAGCAAGCATCTTTTTAGCAGCTTTTAAAGCAGCTTCAGATATATTAAGATTTCTTCCTGCTGCTGTTTGGAAACCCAAGAAAGAACTTTGCATTTTGTTATGCCTCTCCGGGGATTTTATATTCGAGTTCATAGATTTACTGAAGCAAATATTTTCCATTATACATGTTTCATTCTTTTGATTGTCACTACGTAAAGGAAATTTATGTGCACTTCTGGAGGGAGAAGTAGATGTCTTAGCTACATTAATTTTTGGAGGCAGTTTCAATGCTAATTTATATTCATGAGGTCTTCTATTCATTGATATTTCACTCTTACTCACAATCGGAACTTTGCAGTTATCTTTCTCTGCCTTCTTAATAGATGGTGAAATCTCAAGTACATCTGAAAAATTTTTCAGATTGGAGGTAACTTCCGATACATTGGAATGCATCCTTCTCAATAATATATCCGAATAACTATTTGGAAAATAATGCTTTAGTTCTCCAAATATATTCCATTTGTTATTTCTACAGGAAGCTGAACATACACTTTTAACACAGCCCAAAAAATCGCCAGAATTATGCTTCGAGATTTTATAACTCTTCCCTTCATATTCTATTTTCCGTTTTAAACCTTTTTTGCTATTCTTTTCCCTAACCATTATTTCTGATGCTGTATGGAATTTATTTGTTTGCATTTCGTGAATATCGTACACATTTTTCACATTGTCAGAATTTTTCCCTGTAAGATATAACATATTCTGTTCATTCCACATTAAGTACTGACTTGCGATAGCATAATAGAATACTGCACCAAATGTAGTCACTGCAGGACTCTTTAGAAAGTGTTTGTATAAAATATAAAACAAATTCCAGGCAACATTCTTAACACACCAAACATATATGCTATCTTTGCATAACTGAAATGAAATATCAGGATTACATTTTAGAGTTAAAATCTTATTACGTATTTCTAATTGATTCTCTTCAGCTACCAAAATATTCATTCCTAAAAATGTATTTGTTTCAGTTTCATCAACAAAACATATAAGAATAGATTTCCTCTGTTTTATTGAAGAAAGTGTTTGCTCATCCACAATGTTACAACAGTTAACATTATGATGCTTTTCTACCTGAAATAAACAAACATTCAATAAAAATACTGACATGAAATAAGACCGAATTCACAAATCTGGAAAATCAATTTTTTCTATAGCATGAACTGCAACTGATAATTCTTGCAAATGGGCTACTAGCTCATGAAATACACTTACTGCATAAAAAGAACATTTTATTGTCAAATATGAACAATAATTTATAGTTTATAGCCAGCCACACACCATGCCAGAAAAAATAGATATACTAAGACAGATTTCTAGTAAGGTTTCAATACTAGGATTGGGACAAATTTCAGACAGACAAGCTTTATTAACAAAAGATCTGGAATAACGTTCAATGGGGAGACAGCAAATAATATCAAAGACTGCCTTGCCATGGAAGTCAACAAGGGGTTCACCAACTCAAATTCGTGCACCAGACCTATTATTCATTACACCATGAAACTTAAATGTAAGACCTTATTGAATTTAAAGCTACAAAAATTATTTACCACCTAATATTGAAAAACCTGTTAAATATTTAAAAGCAATATGCACTTTTTATTGATTAAAATTAACTTTTTTTTTTGGCAACAATCAATTTAAAACTGAAGAGGGCCAAGAAGTTAACCACTGCCAACTTGTTTCCAATGTAAACATATCTTGGGATGCAAATACACTGAAAACTACTGTGTTTTGTTCAAATTTAATGCCATAATTATAGTTTAGATACAAACATTACTTAAAAAAGCCGAGGTGGACAAATACCACCCCGGGCATACATACTTCCATAACCATGAGCCAAAAAGGTCTTTTATAGTGTATCTTGCAGGCAGGGCCATTGCAAGGTGCAATGGTGCTTGTGTGACAATCTTTTGCTGTGGCCCTGTTTTTGCCAGACCATTATTGGGGGAACATTCTTTCCTGGTAGAAATTTTTTAATGAGTACAATTTAAAATAGCAATTGATGCATTGAATACTTTTTCTTTAAATAAGCTAAAGACAGAGAACAAGTATCAAGACAGCTCTTTATTTGGGTCGTGTATACTGTTTCATTTTAAAATAAAAATTTAGGAGCAACACATCCTTTTTTTAAGTTCCTTTTCTAATCAGCTCTTTTACCTCAACAATTTTCATATTTTATTGTTTAATTTCTAAATTAAAACTCCTATAATGATAAAACTCTATTCTTCAGCAGATGCACATGCTTTTTTCTAGCCTATCAATATTCTCAGCTTAGGTTGATGAGTAGTATAGTCATGCATATAATATGCACACTACATCATACCAACTCATGCTGCTGATTTTGGTAATTTGCATAAAAAATCAAGTAGGAAAGAGATAAAAATGTTGTTGCATGGGTTTTCATAACGGCCGATTTAAGTAATTTAATTTGGCCCGTGGGCCAGCTTTTGCCCATCCTTGATGCACACTATACCATTTTTTTTTTCTCTAATTAATAAAACCTAATATTGCTAGCCTGTTAGCATTATTAAGGCAAATACTAGTTTGGCATGATTACATCTGTAAACAAATCTGAAAACACATAATTTTCATGCTGAAAAGAAATGGCATAAAATGGAAAAATTAAGACAATCATGTATGACATAAACTTAAAAACAGAAATACTAGAACTATATCAAAAGTATATAATGAGAGAGATAATGGCAAGAAATAAGGTGTAATGAAACTGAAAGATTTGTGTTAGCACTTTCTTTAGACTACAAAAGAAATTCAGAGGATTTAGGACCATTTGCTCAGTGTCAAAAGAGAATGACTTCCTGCTGAATAAAAAATTTTATGGCAAATTCCAGTTTCTGCTGCCATAAAGGTCTCTAAATCTTCCATGCATTAAATTTCAAAAGAATGAAAAATTCTTCGGCAAAAAATTAAATTCTATGCTTGTTCGACACAACATCATAAAGAAGGCCTCAACTTGGCCAAATATCACATAGCATGGATTCAAATGGGACAAAACTGATCGGAATGATGGAGCAATCTAAATGGTCCCAGTGGCTGGAAATATTTGTCAAAGCTTGAAGAGAAGAAATTTTATTGTGAGGAGTAGCAAAGGCAACAATTTATGTTATTATGCCTAGAAACTTTCCAACATATTTATTCGAGTTTAATTTTGAATATATTTTTGCACCACATTCAAACTTAACTTTTTGGTAGTCACAGATAAGCCAAGGGTTGTAACAACCTATTTTACATCATCTCTGAAAATGGACAAGAGACCTTTATACAATATATGCATTCCACAGAAATATACCACACATGCATTTCACAGAAATATAGCAAATGTCTCTCAACAAGACTGCTGTTTTTTGTTCTCTTCCCTTAATTTCTGTTGAGTTTTCTGCATATGTTGACAACATTTAGCATTCCAACTTAAAAAGAGGATCAAAGAAATAGTTCTAATCCCTTTGAAAAATACATATTTTTATAGACTTCCTTTGAAAAGCAGTAAGAATATATATTGACTTCTTTGGCTGTTCGTTGATCTTTCCCAGATTTCAACAATGCCACCAACAATTAAGTGTTCTATTCTATCAATTGACACTAAAGACTTTAAAACCTACAGATAAAGAAATTCATTCTGAAACTGAAATTGTCAAAATTTCCAATATTCCAAGAAATGCTTTATTTACAATTGTTTTAAAAAGGGGGTATACTAGTTAATGTAGAAGAAATATGCAATATCTAATATAAAGAAAAAATACTCCAGCTTTCTGCTATTAAAGATGACACCTGTGAAATAATTAATGCATGCAAAAAAAAAAAAAAAGATTAAGTGTTAAAATGCATATAAGCATTTCACATTAAATAATACATTGAGAAATGGGAATAAATCATACCTCAAACAATTCAGCATAGATGATTTTATTAAAATATATGTAAAAAAGCTGAAATGGACACCACAACTTTCTTGTACAGCCTATTAAATTATACACATTTTTTGTTGCGCTTCATTGAAACTTATCTTCTCAAATTACTCTAACTTAATTAACTGATTCCTCAACACAAGTTCAAAATGACGTTCAAAAAAATTGAAAATTTTGATCAATTATGGTGTGATTATTCCAATCAATTTTGGTCAATAAAAATACAAGAAGTTTGACTGTATTTTTATTTTTTCATAACAAACATAAAACTTTCCCCTATAGAAGTATAGGAACCGGGAAATGTCATTGAAAGTTAGATTTTATTATTTGCCCCCCTTTTTTTATACCTTTGACATTTTTGTTATTTAAAACACTTCTGTAATAGGAAGTATACGACTATGACCAAGGTCCTTAAAGTGAAAAGGTTTGCGCATTTGGAAACTGAGACATACAGCACTTGCCTCAAGTCTGGACATTTGATGTCACAGTGAGACCAGAGTACATGGGAAACACAAAGCCATCAAGTGGCCTAAATAAGATTATGCAAGGAATGCTGTTGCATAGGCACCCAAAGGCTTGCGAGGGCCCTTGAATGCCCTGCTTAATTACATTTATATGTTTAAATTTAAAAGAATATGGATATATATATAATAGAATCTAAGTTTTTAGGGGCCCTTACCTACCTGCCATATATATGATGCAAACAGGGGACCCTTGCAAGCAGATAAAACAGTTGAATTTGATGTTGTACTGAATACAAAGCAAATATGCTGTATGCTTTTGTTTTGATTCCCTTCTACAGGAGAGCTTTTAAGTCATTAGCTATAACCAGGAACAGACTGTTGTTTGGGTTTATTGTGAGAATAAGTTCTGAATTCCTTGAGGCGAGCATGGAACAAAGGTGAAGAAATTAAGATACAGAAAATTAAGCCCTCTGAAGTTCAGCATTCCCAGAAATTCTAGTCTTAGGAATATATATATCATTATATAGCAGCCAGCCACATGTCAAATTTTTTCGTTTAGGTAAAGTGTGAGTTGGCTGAGGTAAAAGTTACTTCATTTGGGCATTGTAGACTTCATACCAGTTCTTGCTGTAAAAACTTAGCTATACAATTCATTTATTTACATATATGCCATGATAATGGTTCATTCTGAAGGAAAATTTTAAAAACAAGTGAAATCTCTCTTCTTTTTTTTTTTTTTTTTTTTTTTTTTTTTTTCTATCTGCTTCCTACTATAACAGTTTTTTTTTTTTACACTTTTTTTTTTCCCCCAGTAGTCACACTTGAATAGGTTATAACTCTTCTGACACGCATTAGTTTCAATACTAGTTTTGTATGTATAATTTTACGAAAAAGAATCTAAGCCTCTTTGCTTAATTATTTTTTAAACACATAATGAAATCCTATTCGATATGATTCATATGCTACTGATGTGTAAATATATTTGAACTTTTTCCATTGCATAGAAGAAAAGATACATTGTAATGAATGACAGTTATTGTGAAAATTGACCTAAATAGACTCTTATCATTCATAGACCTCTCATACTGGTCATTGTAATAAAGTGACCATCATAATAACTGTCAACTGTGCTGAGATTTCTGGCATGCGTTTCTTAGCATCTAACTATTTTAAGATATCACTTTCCAAATTAGAGTAAATGTAAAGGAAACAGACAAAAATCAGCTATTTTACATAAACAATGAATGTGCGGAAATGCTGACACCCTTTCTAAAAGGCCCTGCTCAGAATACTGCCGATATTGTTCAAGGGTCAAAGCAAAATATGAGCTGCTTAATCCAGTCGGTCCATGTCAGGTTAAAAATTTAACACTGTCTGACACAGACCTATGGAGTGACGAACAAGTCAGGAAAGACCAGTTGGAAGACGGCAACATTAAACCCATAATTGACTTAATGGAGTCTTTAAACTGGAACAGGACATTTCAATCTATCATCCTACGATGAAACAATATTTGGCTCTCTGGAACTCACTCTATATTTGAAGCAGTGTCTTGTACCAGAAGTTCAAATCAAATGATGGAAAGGCATTCATTCCAGAGGCAGCTGATACTTCCAAGATCTTGGATCCCTGATGTCTTTAAAGAATTACATATCATCACTACAGGAGACTACTTCGGAATAATGAAGACCTTGCAGAGAGTTACTGGAGTAATGCAAAGGATGACGTGCAAAAGTGGTGCCAATTTTGCGATGCCTGTGCGGATCGGAAAGGACTGAAGAAGCGCAGCCAAGGCAAGCTGCTACGTTACAACATAGCAGCGCCTTTTGAACGTATCAGCTTTGACATTTTGGGACCTCTGCTACGAACTGCTGATGGCAACAAATACATTCTCATTATCATTGATTACTTCACCAGGTGACCTGAAGTGTAGCCTATTCCTGATCAAGAAGCTGAGGTAATGATAACAGCACTGGATTTCCAGGTTCAGAGTGCCTCTTTAGTTACATTCTGATCAAGGAAGGAATTTACCGCAGCTGTAATTAAAGTATTCTGCAATCTACTTAGCATCAACAAAACCCTAATAACACCTTTACATAGCCAGTCAAACGGAATGATAGGTTTAATCGAACCATCTTCAATAACCTCTTGCTGGTGGTTTCCAGAAACCATCAGGATTAGGCCAAGAAGTTATCTCTGTTTTTACTGGCCTATTGCAGTGCTGTCCACAAGACTAACAGCTCTTTCCCATCCCAGGTGTTCTTCAGTCACGACTTTCACCTGCCCTGTCATCTGTTATTCGGTCAGCCTCCAGATGTGCCTTTATCACTTGAAAAGTACATCCAAGATCTCCAAGCCTGGTTTGAAGTGATGCACAATTTTGCACCATGCACAACTTGGCAATGGAGAAGATGAAAACCCAATACTATATCAGAGCCACAGGACATCGAGTTGAATGTGACAAGGTGTGATTATGGAATCCAATTCGATGCAAAGGATTCTTTCCTAAACTACAGTCACCTTGGGACAGCCCTTATATAGTCCTAAACACACTAAACAATGCTGTAGTTCGAATCTGTAAACCGACAAATTCTAAGCCTGAAGTCATTCATTTCGTCAGGCAAGCCTCTTACTACGGCCATTGTATATAAATTTGTAAATTTATGCATTTATGTGTTGGTTTAGCATTTGATTTGTTTTGTCATTTATTACAATTATTGTTTAAGTATTGCATTGATTTGCCTTAGTTGTAAGTATGGCTTTCTATCCAGAGAATGTACTTCCTGAGATGTGCAGTCCCTGGGAAGGGAGCAATGTTATGAATTTTGTACACAGATAATTTTAGTGAAATTATATGTGAAACTTTTTTTTTTTTTTTTCTTCCCTGTATAATGTAATACAAAAATCTAAAGCATTGATGCTCCTCTGCCGGAAAAATAAAAATACAGGGGCAAGTATATTTAACACTGCGCAAATGGCTATCTCGTTAATTTGGCAAGATATCACCAAGCTGTCAATGGTTTTAGTGACTAATTTTTTCCGCCAAACTTGAACACAGCACAAAGTGTGTGTGTTCACGACCATTTGGCAGCATTTTGGTTTAGCGCCTGTATCACTGTAATAGGTGCCGCTATTGATGCTTTGTAACCATATTTGGACCCCATATGCTCACCAGTAATTTTGGAGAAGCAGAAAGTACTAGAAATAGCTCAGCAGACGGGTGAATACTGTATAAGACCGGAGAGAACATATGATCTCAGTTATTAGTTCAGCTTGAGTTCAGAGTACTGAGATATCTCTGGGATATCTGTACTGAGATATCTTTAGATACACTTTGTGCTGTGTTCTATTTAACATTCTTAGCAGTTTGAAGTGTAACTACTGATTGTACTCTGTCATATTGTGACGAGTTGTATGGCTATTTTTGTGGAAAGTTCCAGACCTCTGAAGTGTTTCTTTTGATAAAATAAATTTTACTAACCAATCATTGGACCTGTGTACATTCAATCTATTACGAATCTGTACACAAGCCACAATATGTTGATAGACGATTTTTTATTTGTTCTTGTTTAATGATACTCAGCAAATGAAATTTCCTGCTAATAGCATTTAATGTACAAATATTTTTACATTCACCAAGTACCTTCTGTTTTCTGACATGTAGATTCATTCATGAAATTAAAAAATTCCTAAATAAGCAAGCATTGTTTAACCTTCATGTTTCTGTCAATAGTTAGTTAAAACCTTTTTTTTAAATAAACAACTTGAATACTGTAAAAACAAATTCCAACCCTATTTTTTTAATAAAAATATTTGCTTACACATATTTAACAAGAACTCCAGTTCCACTTCACAAATTAAAGCATGACTTGAGCATTAATGTTTTCACCTATGTGAAATATTGCAATATATATTAAATTAATGCAGATAAAAATAAAGTTTGCACTTACTTGAAATCTCTGAGCATCAACTACTTCATGAAACTTCCCTAAAAAAAGATCAACTTATATACAACGTAACCACAACTGAGTGAAAATTATTAGAGATACTGAAATAAATAAGACTGCATTAAAAATGATAAAACATCATAGTATATAAATACGCTTTCCAAATTCTGTTTGAATGTTGCTATTTGATCAGTACTTGCATAAATGAAACTTTAGCTGCTCTCTTATTATTTTCTGATAACATCTGAATGGCTTAGAGAAATATCTCATTGACACTAAAATTCTTGAACAATAAGATCAAGCTCAATTGGTATGCTACAAAAAATTAAGATTTTATGATACTTTCTTTTAATCCACCTTTTCATCAATTTTTATGAGCACAGTTGTCATAGCCTGGAGCAATCTGACATTTTGGCACCTTCTACTAGGGTAATTATGATAATATGTAAGTACCTAATTAATTACTTTTATTATAAATATATATTAATAAAATTAAATATATTTTATGTGAATTAAAAGTAATTTAATGAATTCATGTGTTACTAATTAATATAATTTAAATATTTTTGTTAATTTCTGTCAGTTTTTGCCATTTTTTGCCAGCTTCAATCAGTTACAACTAAATCCTGCCGTTTACAGGTCAAAAACTACTTTCTGCTGGCAGAAAGCCTGCCCATTCTATACACATGCACACACATACAAAAAAAACATTAAAATTCTTTTGGGTACATACGCCTCTTCTTAAGCAATAATGAATAATGCACTGCATCCACACGAGAATAGTTATAGATATTCCATTCAAGAACTCTAGGCCTGTAAGACTGAACATGCATTTTCCTCCTTAGAAGATTTATATCCTGAAATACAATAAATTAATAAATAAGCACTTCTGTAATAGTCAAGCCCAAAAAACAAATGAAAATTGCAGCTGTAAAAAAAAAGCTAGAAACCAGCTAACCTTTAAATTCACATAATGTCACACACACATCTAATCAAAAAAAATTCATAGCAAACGTTACTTACATAAAGAAAAACCTTACATATTAGGCATTCACATAAACATTAAAAGAGAGAGAAGACGCATTTCTTTTATATTTATGCTAAATAAATTTTGTCTACTTATAAAACTCAAATTGATATGTTTCTCTTACATCTATTATTAAACTTATTTTTTCCAAAAAATTGAAATATGTACAATGGATACAAATACGGGATATGTACAGTAGAAATCCAAGTATTAAGAATGCTTGGTTATTTGGCCAAGTAAAACTGGACTTCTTGTTGATTAATTTACGCATTTTGGTTGAACTTTACTGTATGGTTCCGCTTGGTTTCTGTCTGAAAAAATTGCCAAGTGGTATTGATTGTTCACTGGAAGCCCACTGCGTGAAGTAGGTTTTTTGGTAACCCCAATGTTGATAAAACTAGTATTGGGTGAAAATTGCGAATATTGCCAAATGTCTTATGATAAGTTGAGATTTTGGCTATTTTTTGTAATAGTAACCCTTTTGTATAGACCAGAGATTTTGAATTGCTGTGTTTGGTTGCACGTGCATAATGTTTTATGAAAGTGGTACCTGAAAGTTTGCTTAGTGTTATAAATGAGTATATCATTCCGGATACGACTTTAATTTCTGAAGAAGTACAAAAAATGGAACAGATTTATGAAAGCTATTTTATGTAAGCTATTTTATGTATTTATCCACTATTAACAGCAGAAGAGCCAAAATGACCAAATATTTAACTGAATTGCTTACATGGACAAGATGATATTAGGAGGCGTTAAGGTATGCACGTGAAGAGAAAGTACGTTAAAGAATTGACATTTTATTTATTTATTGGTGTCTGTGTGTTAATTTTTGTTGTTTACTGTTTTTATGTTAGGAAATATGTATTTTTGGTTATTTGTTTGTGTTGGTGTGTTAACACAGAGGCGAATTTTTTTTTGGTTAACCCAGCATTACCCACATGACAAAAATGGCCCAGGATATGTCATACCCAAGGGTGTTTCATTATATTTTCTACCATAAAATTTATGCACGAAAGGTTAAAAAAAAAATTAAAAAGAAGACTGTAATTGTAAAACTAGTTAATCATGCTACTTACATTTATTTTGCATATTCTCTCCAAATGCATGGCATATGTTCCATACATATATGTTTGTCACACCTTTCACAAATAAATTTAATTTTTCCGTCTTTTCTATTAGAGCATTCAGTGCATCTTTTAGATATTAGTTTGGCCTTCTCTTTAGGTGGTGCAATGTCTCCACTGGATCCTAGTTTTACTTTTAAGTTTCATGGAAGCATCACATGTTGGCTTCTATTTTTCTTGTATTCTTCTGCAAGTTGAAATTCTAAATATTTCAAAAATGATCGCCTCGTTTGATGTTAATTAGGTGGTTTCTTAGTAAATAAGAAAATAATTCATGCATTTATTGCAACAGCGTTCAACAGTATAAAAATATTGCCATGGGCCAACAATTAGATTGCCTAGCCGTTGAATATGTGGCAGCAATTTTGTCTGCAACATTAACTGCTCCTTCAGATGAATTGTAGAAAGTTATTATTTCAGGTTTTCTTCGATTCTCCTGTAGATGAGTCTAATGCATCATCATTACACATAGTTGAAAGTAGAAGAACATCCTTATTTTTCTTGGGTGTATGTGACAATTATTGTGGAAACCAATATGAAGGAGTAAAACCAACAAATTTTGGAAACCAAACATGGAAAAGTAAATCTCTCTCTTCTTTGAAATCAAAAACATTGGAGGAAGCTCTCTTTTATTTTTTTCTTATGGTTCCAACAATAGTTATTCATCTGAAGATCCAATAAATTTCTGAATATCCAATAAATTCACCATAACGAACCATATCGGAAGAACAATTTGAAAGCTTGTTCGCATACTCAGAACTCTATAACAAAAATACTTGCGCAGGATATAATATACCCGTCCAGGTGATATCCAAAGAACTATTTTCAGAATTCAGCCCCAGGTTTCCTCTCCTTCAAGGTTATGTTCTTAGAATAAGCTATACAAAGATTCACCAATTTCTCAAAAAAGGTTAGACAGGACCATGGAAAATTCAGGGAGGCTAGTATCTCATACCCTGCACAAGTAATGCCAGATTAACACGACAGTTTTAACTTTGTGATTTTGTTTAAGTGAAAATAGATTGATGTGTACATGGAAAAAGTGAAATTAGTGCGCAATGCCTAGTTTGTACAATTTTCCGATTTTTTTTAACTTAAAATAAGTCAATGTATACATGGATAAAGTTAATTAGTGATCAATGCCTAGTTTGTGCAATTCCCTGATGTTTTTTCAAGTTAAAATAGGCCGATGTGTACATGGATACCAAGTTTGTGTAAGCATTTGATTTTCTGTAGGGGGTGGAAGGATTAGCCCCATCTTGAAATTGGTGTTGATCCTTCGCAGCGCTGATCTTGGCGTCAACAAATCAACGATTCGGCAAGCGGAACCGTAAAGATTAACCCACATTTCAAATATTTTCATCGACATTAATTTCACTATACATTTTCCAATGAAATAAATATTAATATAGATAAATATATATAGCATGTAGACTAGCCTATAGCATTGAACAAATATATAATTAATAAATAATAGTGAAAGAACAAGTATTTATCGTAAATAAGTCTACCATTCTGTCTGTAATCCTTGAATATTGCTTAGTTGTAACAAACACTTCATTAAAAAAAAAAACATAGACCTCAAATAACCAACTTGTTTATTTTTGTAATAAATTTTTTATAAAAAATTATTAATTGCATTTTGTCTAATAAATTTGCACACTTTAATACATACAAACCACAAGGCAGTAAAAATATATTTCAGGGTGCCCCTCGGAGAAAATTGGTAACTCACCAAACAAGGCAAAATTTCAAGATGGCCGCTTATACACAAAACCAAAATAACAAGTCAAAGAATTGCACAAACTTGATGTCCATGTACGCTTCGATCTATTTTCACTTTAAAAAAAAATCAGGAGAATGATGACACCATATAATGTTAAAACAAAGTTATTCATCACCAAAATTGAACAAAATTTGTAGTCAATCGAAGCTCAATAAACAGCATTTTAAATCACACAATGAATTAACATAAAAAAGGAAATACAGTACAGTCTGTAATCCGAACTCGTCGGGACTTTGGCGATTCCGGATTATAGATCATCAATTTAAATCTGGTAAGATGGCATGCAGAAATTATGCAATTAAAAATATGAAACCGTAATTTACGAAATAAAGAGCAATTATGATCTAAAGGGTATCAAATTTTACAAAAAAAAAGCTTAATATTTATTTCTTTACTTTATTAAACATTTCTTTCAATGTGCACATGCGTAATGTATGTGCATTCTTTACGCGAATGTGTAAAGTTTGTGGCTTTGAGGTCTGGATTATAGATCATTCCGTATAATGGACATCTGGATTACAGACTTTGTACCGTACATGTTATCGCATATACGCACTATAAAAAGGGCTTAGAGTAGTTTGAAGTGTGCCCCTTATTATCGCGACGTTGTTCTTTCATTTATGGTAACCTGAGTAGTTGAATGTTATGGAAACCCTATTATGACACAATTAGTTGCATGATTGCAGTAAATGTTTAATGATGGGAAAAGAATCGTAAGGGCTTGTAGTGTGTGTTGTTTAAGAAGTACATTGCTTGTTTTGTAGTTTAGATGGTAGAATGGCTGAATGTGATAAGATTAATTTGAAGTTTCTGAACGATTTTGAACGAAAGGGGAAAAGAGCATTAATTGCGTGTAAATGAAGGTTTACTTAGTAGCCATTATAAGTGCCCTGTTTGTAGAAAGGAAATGCGTATGGTTGAAGGTCGGAGCATATTTTTTACTCTTATTTTTGTGAATTTATGTGGCGACATACAAATGCAAGTTCAGATAATTTTAGGAAGTTTTTGGATGCTGTTGAGGAATTTTGTGTGCCATAAACTGAAGAGGCAGAAATTTTTAAACAAGGTAAGTGGATATTTACTTTGTGTAGTGCTTATATGCATAAGATGAATTTCCTTTTTTATGTTATTTTATTGTTTGATTTAAAATGTAGTTTATCGAGATTATGTATTTTTTGTTTGGCTCTATTGTAGAACTGGGTGTTGTTCCTTCGACTTTTTAAGTGAAAATAGATCGATGTGTACACGGACAAAGTCAAGGGAGTGCATAATGCAAAGTTTGTGCAATTCTCTGATGTTTTTTTAAGTGAAAATTGGCCGACGGGTACATGGATAAAGTCAAGGGAGTGTGCAATGCCAAGTTTGTGAAATTCTCTGATGTCTTTCTACAGATACCAAGTTTGTGCCGCCAAAAATCACCAATTTTCGTCAAGGGCCACTGATAAATATATTTTTACCCAAAAAGGAAATATTGGCTTGCTATATTTAGAAATTTCTGTGTCTTAAGGTCTGTGGTACACAAAATTCCTTAACAGCATCCAAAAACTTTCTAAAATTATCTCAACTAGAATATGCATACTGCTGTCACCATATAAATCCACAAAAATAAGAGTAAAAAATATCCTCTGTAGGTCCTCTGACTGTCGGTGGCATTTCTTGCATGAACCTTTCTTGTGACAAACCCACCTGAATGATCTTTATGTTCGACCATTCGCATTTCCTTCGTACAAACAGGACACTTATAATGACTAGGTTAATCTTTGGATTATGGTAACTTGGCAATTTTTTTGGTGAAAATTTGGCAAACAACCCTGCTAGTTTTTTGTTTGGACGCCATTTTGTTTTCACAAAGTAAGGCTTTTTTTTTTACTCAACATTTTTTTCCAACAATTTGCTAGCCGAATTACGCTTATGCTAGAACTTTTATGGAACAAAAGTGCTTAATCATGACGAAAATTAGGTGCGAAATTGGAAGAAAGTGCAGAATCGCAAACTGCTTGCCGCGTTTTTAAGAATTCCACATACACGGGGTATCCATGTACACGTCGACCTATTTTCACTTTAAAAAAAAATCCCAGAATTGTACAAAAATGGCATTGTGCACACTCTTGACTTTATCCATGTACACTGCTAAAGTCCTAGCTAGTAACCTTTATCGCCTTGCCAAAATGTCCCCAAACTACCTGTTACCATATTCCAAATATTAGCCAATGACTACTATTCACGGTGGAAGTTCCAGATTAGTTCTGTGTTAAAGGCTAAATACTTTTTCATTTGGCAACTAGCACAAAAACAAGAACTCATAGAAGAGAAAATAAAAATGGAAAAATGGAAGAAAGAAGGACATGGTAGAAATGTTCATAATTTCATTGGCCATGGAATTACCACAGATAACAAAAAGTTACTAGTGGGAAATCTATTTGTCCTTTCTATGACATTAAATGAATCAAATGATGCGCTATTTTTATGTACATGCTTATATTCGTTTTATTCTGTATGCCACCTAAGTATCCAGTCCAATACTTCCTTAAACAGAAGCCCAACTACCAGATCATCACATCACAAGCTGGCGACTGACAATCATGGTTGGTCACCCACTTTCTGCCATAAAAGTGTATGTGTTTTTAAAGCTTCACTAACAGATGGTTTCTTCTAATGATGTATATACAGGGTGTTTCAGCAAATCCGTTAGAAACTTTCAGAAGAGACAGAGTACACCTAGACGATTGAAAAACACACAGCAATTGCACGGTGAGAAACACTTTTCCTAGCACGGTAGTAACGGCACAAAAAAAAAGAAAGGAAGACCTATAAATAAGGTGAGAATATGTTTATTATGCTTAGTGCAGCAGAAACCAATAAATAAGAACAAAAATAGGCGATCGTCATCAAAGGTTTTTGAAATATATCCTCAACATGGGATTGGTAGGGGTAGTTCAGTGTATTGGCCTGCAAGATCGCCAGACCTCACTTGCACTGACTACTGACTCTGGGGATATGTCAAGACACTGATGTACGAAAACACCATTCAGTGCTGAGGAACTTGTTGCATGCACTGTGGCACTGCTGGGAAAGTCTAGGACACACCCATTACTTTCCAGAACATCAAATCTTACATGTGTCGGAGATGTGAGGCCTAAATCACAGTCTGAGGTCGTAATTTCAAACATCTTTGCAATTATTATCAGCGAGGAGGGTTGCAGCACACTAGTACATTACACCTTCTTTGATGATAATCGTTGTCTATTTTTGTTCTTATTGCTTGGTTTCTTCTGTACTAAAAAATAAGCATGTTTTCTCCCCCTGTTCATGTCCTTCCTTTCTCGTGTTTTGTATTGTCACTACCGCTCCAGGAAAGTGTTTCTGATCATACATTGCTGGGTGATTTTCCATCATCTAGGTGTATTCTATCTCTCCTAAAAGTCTGGAACCAATTTGCTGAAACACCCTGTATATATATCTTAATCTCAGAATTAATAATCACAGATCTTGCATTAGAAAGTTTAAACATAAGCCACAAACTAATAGCAAAGGAGTTCTTACCACTGCAGTACTGAAACATTTTCTATTGTATAATTTTGACCAAATTAAAATCTCTATACTGGATATCATTCCCAACACAAAAGAAAGACCTTTCAAAGAATCAATCTACATCTTGCAATGCAAATCACTTTACTCATATGGGATCAACTCCTACTTACAAAATATGACTAGTAAAAAAGACAATACTACTTACAGTCAATTTGAAATGTAGTGAGAAAACTCTTCAAGGAAAAAGAGGTGGAATTAAAGATGGTGTTCACTTCCACGCCTATCGAATTAATTTCCACCTTTTCATTGCCTTGTATTGGCAACGCGCTTTTGAGATGTGTAGTCGGAAGATTTTGGTCGGTAAAAACGTAGCTGACCTGTAACTGTTGTAATTCTTATTTTAAAGCTTATCTGTATTGCTGAATCATTACTAAATGTATACGTATAAATGTTTTATTATTAAATATATGCAGTTTGGTTTGAACAGACTGAGAGTGGTTGGATTTATTAAGGATATGTAAAATCGAAACTACTTCATCCATTTCGGCGCCATTCTAATACAGGAACGTAAACAGATGGCAAAAATTATTTTGCTACTGTGAATACAGTACAACTCCTAAATAACTTTGACAAATTAATGCAAGTAAAGTTTTCACCAAAAATATACTTAATTTATTCAATACTTTCAATAATAAAATGTTGTGGCAACTTCTTAAGTACTTCAAACACCAATATAAAGTATACCAAATACTCAAAGACCCTGCAAATGATTTAAATAAATTTCAAAAAATACCATGTACACAGCATCCTGTTTAAACTTAAAAAAAATCTACGAATTGCATAATCTAGGCAACGAACGAATTTACAAACTATGCACACCTCGCTTTAATAAATTAACATAACAACAATAAATTTCAAAGAATACCATGTACACAGCATTCTGTTTAAATTTTAAAAAACATCTACAAATTGCACAATCTAGGCAATACGCACTAATCAACAAAATAAACTAAAATAAATTTCAAACAGTTCAAAAAAACAACAATAACAACAGAAATTCATACTAAAAAAAGAGTGAGCATATCATTCTTCAAAATAAGAACAAGAATAAAATAAAATGCACTTACCATGAATGAATGCTTTTTCGAACATGCTGCCACGTAATCCAGAAAATTCATACTATGGTTCACAAATAAATGTTCAAAACCTTTTCCTAAATCCTTGTAAGATTTCCAACCATCCGAAAAAATAGTTGTACGAGGCTCAATCCACTCTTTAATACACTGTGTCAGCGTTTTCTTATTTCTATCATGCACAGCCACTAAAAATAATCTCCTAGACCCTCTTGCAACCATGTCTCTCATTGCAATATTTCAAAAAACACACGACACGAACCAACGAGCAATTAAAGCACGCCAGCAAAAGAGTTTTCAAAGTCAAAAGGGTTGCCATACAACATGTAATCGTGCCAAAAACCAGTGCAGAACACATATCGCCACATTTGGTGATCTTAGGGCATATATAAGAGCAGAGCCAATCATTTTAGTATTCTTGAGATTTTGATTTTTACGTGGATGTGGATGTATGAAGCTAATACTAAAATTATTAAGTCTCAATTAAATTTGATTGTTATTTTTGTGAATTTATGTGGCGATGGCAGTATACAGATTCTAGTTCAGATAATTTTAAACAGTTGTTTGATGCTGTAAAGGAATTCTGTGTGTCACACATGTTGAAGGAACAGAAATTTTTAAATAAGGTAAGGGCTAATCTTTGGAATATGGTAACAGGTAGTATGATGACATTTTGGTAAGGCGATAAGGGTTACTAGCTAGGATTTTAGCAGTGTACATGGATAAAGCCAAGAGTATGCGCAATGACATTTTTGTGCAATTCTGGGATTTTTTTTTAAGTGAAAGTAGGTCAACGTACATGGATGATATCGTGTATGGGCAATTCTTAAAAACGCGGCAAGCAGTTGGCGATTCTGCACTTTGTCCCAATTTCGCAACTAATGTTCGTCATGATTAAGCACTTTTGGTCCACAAAAGTTCTAGCATTAGCATAATTCGGCTAGCAGATTGTTGGAAAAAAATGTTGAGTAAAAAACAAAAAAATTTAAAATAAATAAATAAAATAAAAATGCCTTTCGTGAAAACAAAATGGCATCCAAACAAAATCTAGCAGGTTGCTGTAGCAGGGTTGGTCGCCAAATTTACGCCAAAAAATTTCCAAGTTACCATAATCCAAAGATTAACCAAGGTAAGTTGATATTTCCTTTTCGGACTGCGTAGATTGGATAACATGTATTTCCATTTTTATGTTACCTTATTTGATTTAAAATGCAGTTTATTGAGATTACATATTTTTTGTTTTAATTATGTTTTATTGCATTATGTTTTGGAAGGCATTTTACTGGGAGGGGCATTGGATGTAAACGTTAATGGTACCAAAAAATCGCCAAAATGTACCCTGAAATATATTTTTACCCTAATAACCTTACTGCACTATTCACTTTAATCATCCAATTTATGGTTCACTTAAAATTAATCAGATTTTTAAAACATATCTGTATCTATTTCCTGATCAGAACGTCAGAATGGTATCATGTTTCAAGTTTGCCAAAGTAAAAAATGAGCAAAAAAAAAGGCCAAGCAAATAGTGCACTTATTTGCCGAGAACAGAACTTCGTGGCTTTGCCACCCACATGAGATCCTCACATTAGGATATAGACGGAATATATTCACAATTATCACAAAAAATTTAATTTAACTTAAAAAATGTTTGTCACGCTTTGTACGAAACATTCCTTAGTATGAAATAGTCGCACAAGTACCATAACCAACACACGCAATGAAAATAAGACTATGTTTGCAAACATATACGCAAATATGGATATGTTCTTACAAAAAACAAAGAAATTTAATAACATAACATTTTTTAATTCGCATGTCAATGGAGAAAATATATCATATATAAATATATTCATATAGGGGATTTTATTTCATTAATATATATCCAAAATAAATCTATCAAAAGATAAATAATATTTTTCAGAAGTTAACAAATAAGAATTTTGATTTTAAACAAATAAGAATGCGGCAACATTTTCTACAACAGAGTACACAAATATAAACTTACTAAATAGGCCTTAAGGAAACAAAATCAATAAACCAATGAGGAGAAAATTTTAAGAGTTTATTTTGACGAAAGCATCATTCACTAAAACCACGGACTAAAACATACAAATGCAAATCTAAAATTGCGCGCCACACAGTTGCCAATTTCACATTCTGGCTCAAAAAAATAAAACTTTTCGCCAGAGTTTCAAAAGCAAGGAGCTTGTTCAAAACTAAATTCCTTAATTCATTTCAACTGAAAATTAGTAAACTCATTTTAGTGATAAAAAGTTTTATCGATGCTTTTGCTGTTAAACTGTCTTAGTGCGAATTATTAATTACGAGATACCGGTTTGAAATGAAGAGGCGCAAAAATGAAAGGAAAGAAAAAGGCTGATATTAGAAGTTACCATCAGTACAGTTTGCTCAAGAACTCATTAATTTGGCAATTTCTGTACGATTTTTGGGCTTTATTATTGTCATCTTCGGATTACATTTTGATTTCTGGGGGAATTTTTAGTCTGAAAAAGCCCCTTTATGCTAGCGGAATTTTGAGCCCAAGACATATACGCAAGCTTGCCAGCTTCATGTGGCAAAGGAATAATTCATGCTGCGAATTTTTAATGATAGTATCACCTAGGCTATTTATTTCTTTAAAGCAACAAATGCATGGGTACTCAGTTTTATTTCAAAACGAGTTAATGTTTTTCTTTCTTTGAGTAGAACCATCAATTTCGCTGACGTTTTTTAGGTTCAAAGTTCCGCTGACGCAAACATCAGAAACAAGTGAATGATTCAATCACCTGGGTTACCGTGAAGTTCGTTCAGTTTTCCTTTTCCTCGTGTTCTGTCAAGGGTTCTCATGCTAGTGCACTGCCATAGTAATTAGCTAATTTTGAAATTTAAGCGTTTTATACCTAAATCACGTGAATAATTAGAAATTCCAGGATGAATCGAAACAGGTTAGGCCCGTGCCTGAGTACTCCAGTTAATACACTCTTCAGCTCCTGTGTATGAAACAGTAACAGTCCGTGACAGAGACGTGGAGGTACGAAATTTGTAATTTAACATTTAAAAAGTTTTCCGTCCAACATATGGCAGCAAAAACTGACTATTAATTACTGTGCGAGATAATAGTGGTGCATGACCAGTCAGCGCTAAATCCTCAAACGCGCAGGGAGGTCACGTGACATCCGAACTACGTATAAGATGATATCACATCAAAGATACTCCCCTTACGCTCTGTTAATTTCTGCTCATAAATTGAAACATGCTTTTGCAATATGAGTTTCAGAAGTAGAGAAAATTTTTCTGAAAATACTACAGATGCTAACTAAATACATACCAAATACTAACATATTAGCATGTATAGCTTTCCAATTTACTCTTGTGTTTATTTTAAATCACTGAGAAATATATGAGATTTCAGTTTTAAATTAATTCTGTTAATATTTGCAATACATTTCATCTAATAATTAATGTTTTGTGCTTTAATTTCATCATTGTATTAGAAAAAAATTAATATATGTTTCGCTATATATTATTCAAATGAATAATTAATGAATTTAAAATTACGATCATTTCGTAATAAATGTGACATTTTGTATAATTTTATTGTATATCTGAAAGGAATCTTTTTAAATATAAATTATTTACATAATCTTTGGATGGAAAAACTATCATGTAGTATATTTAAACAAAAGATCTACTGGAAGATTGTTTTTGTTTATAGTTTTCGTATGTTCAGAACTTTTAATGTGTATATAAGTTTCTTGTGAATAGTTTTGAAAAATATATTGCACCCACACTAAATTTAGAATAGCACATTTTTATCCTGTGAAATACACTCAAATTTTAATATGAATGAGCCCTTGTGAAGCAGCCAACGTATTAATTTAAGGCTTAAAAATGACTTCAAAAATGGATTCCAGACTTTTCTAGTGTAGATACGAGCCAGTTTCCCCCGGAAAGTCCTTCACAAAGACATCCATCGTTTTAAGTTGATAGCCCTTGCGTGCCATAATCAAATAAATTGAAACAAGCTTTGGTAAGGCTGTGATATTGGTTCTTCCTTATTATTATGAATACTGTTTTTTAAAGGTGTCAAGATTTTTGATAAATCGCCAATGTAAACTATTCTGAAACATCTGGAAGCCCCAATAATGATGATTTAGAGTTTGTTTCTAATTAGAAGAGCTTCGAGGAAACCATGTTATCATATTTCTTACCATGTAAACAGGGGCGTAGCTAGAGTTTCCAGAGCCCGGGGACAACTGAAGAATTTGCGCCCTTATCTGTGTGCCAAGAATGGGAAACATTTCATTAAAAAATTTCTTAGCATCAATTTGGCGACCCTTGGATTCTGCGCCCGGGCACAGATGTCCCCCCTTACCCCACTCTAGCTAGACCTCTGCATGCAAATACAAATAATTCATAATCACTCAGAATTCTCTAATCACAAAAAGAGCTCTCAGTATTCTACATGTTAATGAATTTTATTTATATTTTTATCTTAAAATTCTTAATTTACTGAGAAGTAAGGAAGATGCTTGCTATATCTTTCTTTCAAGAAATGCACATAATTTACATCACATTCAAATATGAAAAAAATGGACATTAAATAAAATTTCACATCAGTGAAAGCATTTAGAGGTGCAGCTTGAAAATTTGCAAATCAAAGAAAAGTATGTGTTTTAACAACTGATTTAGTGGTTTCAGAATACTGTTTGTAACAGCATAAAATGAAAGAAACACTACAAAAATGTGACTATTCACTGAAACATTTTTACGAGAGAGATGTATTATCTGCATATAATCTGCCAACCAAATATATGAATAGGTGGCCCTGAAAAAATTTTGAACATCTGTTCATACAGCAAAAAAATCAAAACTAGCACGATTCTTCCACAATACTGTATATATGACAAGTTATGCCAAAAAACTGAAAAAATTCATTCTCGCTCAGTTTCTAAATAGAGAGCCATCAACACTCATGCCAAAAGTTGTCAACCGTCTACAAGAGGGAGTGACAATTTATTCAAACTTCTGGTGAGAATATAAAAGATAGGACCTGGTAAATACCAGCTTACAGACATTTTTCTGTGGACCATAAATTTCATTTTCTTGATCTAAGAATAGTTGCTCATATATAAAATATAGAAAGACTGTGGAGCTCCGCTAAGTGGTGGAATAAAAATCGAAGAGGCACGTTTCACTATCATCATGAATCTTACTTTGCAGAGTTAATATAGCAAAAAATCTTTGAGACCTTGGAATGCTTCTTATGCCATATTAAAAGCAACTGAGGAAGCAGGGCAGCAACAAAGTGTACATGAGACATGAACTTGGTAATAATTATGATGCCAACTTGATGTTTAAAAAATGAAAGCTGCAATTCTAAAGAAGTATCGTAACATTTTTAAAACTAAGGTTCTGTTTATATTTCAGCTCATTTCGTTGCCATATCAGTATGTTTTGATTCTGATGCCCTCCAATTATGAATGTCTTTTCATTTCTTTTTAAAATATAGAAATAAGTCATTACTCTGCATTATGTATGTTTTAGTTAATTTCATAAAACTCTACATTATGTAGCAAGGACTTGAAAATTTACTGATGTCTCCTCAAAGGAAATTTCTAAATCTATTAATGTCTGAGCAGAAAGAGGCTCTGTTGAGCCTCTTTCTGCTCAGACAAGAGCGCTCTGCAAGAGCGCGATAGGCTGTGTTGGAGTAGGTAAAGGATTTTTAACTGGTTAGTGAGGGCGTTATTTTAATAGCCACTGTATTGTCTATTAAACACATAATTTATATACTTCTGTATAATATTTGGCACTGTTCCTGTATCAGGTCCTAATTCAGAAATGTAGATATGCATGCATGCAAGGTTCTGTAATATGCAAGGTATGCATGTATATATGGATGTGTGTGTATGTGTTCATATATGTAAGTACGAATGTATGTGTATACACATACACACATATATATATACATGCCTTCATACATACATTTGTCAATCCGGTCTCGATAATAGAACAGTACCTAATATTTTGCCAATTGATTTTTTGGTAGACCTCCACCGATAAGCCATGGGAATATATTGATGAAGCAACACACCATGTCTCCAAAAAGCATTTACTTGGCAACACATGATATCACCAAAAAATATTTATTGTTCAACCCAGTCATATGTATAGCATTCTCCCAGATCGTTTTTCAGTATCATGACTGCAGAATATGATCTCTCCAAAGGGAATTTTAATGTTTTAGCCTAGGGGTGGACATTTGATTGTTTTCGGTAAAATCTCATATTTAGCCTTCTGCATGCATAGACTGTAATGTGGCTTGCTTTAAAGACATCATGCGCCCAGAGGCGTAGCTAGGGTTTTCATCGCCCGGGAAGAAGTGAAAATTTTGCGCCCCTTTCTGTGTGCCAAGAATGGAAAACATTTCCTTCTGCCATTTCATGACATCAATTTGGCGTACCTTGGATGCTGCGCCAGGGGACAAATGTCCCCCCTTGCCCCATCCTAGCTACGCCACTGCATGCGCCTCTTTCTTCTTTCTGATTTTGGAATTTTAATGCCAAGTTTATAATATTCTCAGATGTTTCCTTACCTGAAAACAGATGACTGTGTATATGGTGAGAACAAAAGTACAAAAACTTAGGCGTATATGTGTGTTATATAGAAAAAGGTGAATATAGGAAAACAAATGGCAGTGGATGAATCGTTGTAATAGATGTTTCTTTCCAAATGATGCAAATGAGTTATTACACTGAAAGGCCTAATGACCATACAGAGTATGGATGTCTAGCAATGCGAAATGATAACACATATTACTGTAAATTTCCAAAATTACAGATAATGAGTAATTTCCTCTATAGGTCAAGAAACTTTTAAAAAATACCTTAAAATGTGTGATTTACCATAACTGTGAACACTGCATTCAAATTTAAAGTTAGGTTAGGTTATTTTAATATGGCACAAGTACACAAGGGCTACATGACCAGGATACCTTTGTGGAGAACTTCCTAAGGGAAACTAACTCATATTCATGTTACACATGGAGAAAACCAACCATGCAGCTAGCCCATTTGAGTGTGTTCTAACCTTTTTTGAACTACCAGTGTTCAGTGGTCATAACTTTCCGACGACTGGTGGGACCCATATTTAATGTGTATTAACAATATTTTCCTGCGACGAAAATGGCTCACAATAGGCAATTGGTAA